GGGGGGGGGGGGGGCAGCAGGGCGGGCGGCGCACATATGGTGGTTGACATTGATGGATATTGACGATGTCGATGCCGCTCCAGAAGAAAACGCCACGTCGGGATCACAGAAAAAGGCAGGGAGGTGGCGGCATCGCCGGGCGAGGGCCGGCTGCACTCGGGGCCCCCCACCACCCCGCAGAGCCCTGAACCCCCTCCGCCGCGCCAGCGGCCCCGCACCCGTGAACTTGTAGCCCGGGATGTTCTCCATGAACATGCGGCGCCAGAAGGTGCGGAAGGGCGCGATGCCGGTGCCGGTGGCCACGCAGATGACCACGGCGTTGGGGTCCTCGGGCAGCAGCAGCACCTTGCCGGTGGGGCCTGCGCGGTGGGGTGGCGGGTGCGGGCGGGGTGAGTGGCGAGGAGGTGCAGTTGGGTGCAGCTGGGGGAGGCAGAGGCGTGCGGGTCGCGCGGCAAGGCGGGAGGGAGGGGGGGAGGCGGGGCAGGGGCCGCCTGCCGCTTGCAGGGTGTGCACCGCACGTCGCGGCCGCAGGCCTGCCCTGCCTAGCATATAGGCCACAGCCACAGCCACAGCCACAGCCGCCTCCCGCTGCCCGTCGACGCCAACCTCCGCCCGCCACAGGCTCCCTGCCTGCCTCAGCCCGGCACAACCCCTCCCCTGCCTCAGACCGCCACAGAGCCCCTCCCCCTCCCCTCCCCTGCCTCCCTGCCTCACACCCTGCCACAGCCCCTCCCCTGCCACCCCACCGCACCCACCCACCCGTCATGGTGATCTCCTGGCCGGGCTTGGCGTCGCAGAGGAAGTTGGAGCAGATGCCCTTCTTGGCCGGGTCCTCCTTGCCCATCTCGGGGTCCCAGTACACGGCGCGGCGCACGCACAGGGAGGTCTGCGGGGGGTGGTGAAGGCGGGGCGAGGAGCGGAGGAGGAGTGGGGGATATGGTTATGCTGGGGCGGGCGCCGGGCAGGGTGCCAGGGAGCGGCGAGCTGGGCCGTGCAAGCTGCCAGGCTGCCGGGCCGTGCACGCAAGCGTGCGCCACCGCATCCCAGCGCCGCGCAGCCCAGGCCCGCTCACCGTCATGCCGTCAAAGCTGTCGCCGTAGCGGGTGGCGGCGATGGAGTAGAGGCGGGTGCCGTGGGGCACCTCCTTGCCCTTGGAGTTGATCTGCGGGCACAGCGGGCACAGCGCGCGCAGCGGGGCGTCAGCCAACGAGTGAGGCACGGCGGCGGCACGCATCCAGGGGGCCAGGCCGCTGCCGCCGCCCTGGCGCGGCCCAGCCATGGCCCGCGGCTGCGCTAGGGTGCAGCGAGCTGCGCCTGAGCCGTCGCCCCCTGGGCCTCAGGCCCCAGGCGTCAGGCCCCAGCCGCCAGGCCCAACCTTGGTGCCGGGGGGGATCACGCCGTAGGACTGGCCCTCCACAAAGGGGATCTTCTTGTCGGTCTGCAGGCAGGACAGGCCAGCGTGCGCCAGGTCAGCGTGCGCCAGGTCAGCGCGACGAGGCCAGACGCCCGGCCGCGCACTCCCGTCCCTGGCCGCCGCATGCCGGCTGCCTGCTGCCTGTGCCCGGGGCTGGGCCCGCGCCTGCTGCTCCGCACACCCCAGCCCTTGCTGCCTGCACCAGGCGCTCTCCCGTGCGCCGGGCGCCGCCCGCGGCCGCCGCCGAGCACCCTGCACCACCCCCTGTACCACTCCCCACCCCCACACCCCTGGCTCCTCCAGCTCTCCCCCAAAAGAAAGAAACAAGGAAGAAAGTCCCGGGCCGCCGACCTGGATGATGATGTGGCAGGTCTCGCCGGTGGCCTTGGGCCCCGTGATCGTCTCCACGCTCACAATCTTGCCGATGAAGGGGTTCTTGGGGCCGAAGGTGTTCATGGGCAGCCCAATCTCCTCCAGCTCCAGCGGCACGTCGGCGCGCTTGAGCTGCGGGGCGGGCACAACAAGGGGCAGCGCAAGGGGCGGAGGAAGAGCAGGGCGGCTTGGGCACGAGGAGGTGGGAACAGCATGTGGGGTACTATCTACAGCAGGCGAGGCTGTGGTGTGCAGGGCCCAGCGAGCTGCCGGCGCCCTGGGCGGGGCTGGCAGGCGGCGCTGCCGAGCTGGCCGGCCGCGCTGCACGGCGGCCGGCTGGCAGCGGCGCCGCCGCTGCCTCGCATGTGGGCCTGCCATTCAGCCCCACCCCCACAGCGGGCAGCGTGGATTGTGCTGCCTGAGCCCTGCATTGGCTGCTGCCTGCCTCCCACTCCAGCCCGCATCTCAAAGATGCCGGCAGGCTGTGCCGCAACGCTGGCTGCGAGTCAAACTCGCTTCTGGCCGGGTCTGGCCAGCAATGGGTGGCAGGTTGGCGTGCTGACGCAGCGCCTGCCGCACCCAGCGTGCTGCCACCGCCGCCAGCTGACTGCCCCGGAGCCTGCCGTGCTGCTGCTGATTGTCAATGCATTGCAGGGCTGGCAAGCAGGAAGCGAGGAGGCGCAGCAGCAGGCGGCGGGGCGCCGCCGCACCTGGGTGCTGGCGGCCTGAGCCACCACGTTGGCGCGGCGGGCAGCCACCGCCCGGGAGGAGGGCTTGCTGGCGAAGGCCTGCATCGCCAGGAGCATTGCGGCGCTGGTTGGGGCCCGATCCTGGCCGCTGCTCGCCTCGACACCGCACACACATTGCGCCAGCACGGCCCCTCCCGGGCCCGCCGCTCACCTTGGCCACGGAGGGCCGCTGGACCACGGCGGAGCTCATAGCCATCTGCATCTGCGAAACGGAGGGCAATGCGCGGCAGTGTGAGACACTCAGTTGCAGCGACCCCTGGCAGCCCTTGCGGCACCTCTGCTCACCGTTGCAGCCGTGTTTGCTGATCAACGATGTCAGGAATCCCTCCACAAGACCACTCGGCCGATGCGTGAGCAGGCGGGCACTAAACTTGCTCACCCTCAGGTGGGAGCCAGGGTCGGGTGAGGTGTCACTCGAATTGCATCGGCAGGAGGTGCAGTCGCGGTGCTTCCAGGCCACAAACCAATGCAGGGATGCTGCGCCGCCTTCCGGGAGGTGTCCCCCCGCCTCAAAGCCCTGAGCTGGGGGTTGCCGCCGCTGCCGCCCGCAGGAGCGGCCTTGCAGGCCACCCGAATCCCTGCCCTGTTCTGCACCCCACCCGCAACCAGCCGTTCACCTCCCTCAGCCTTGCTGAGCGCGTTCGGGATCGAGACGGCACAGCTTACACAATCGGGGGGGGGCGCCTCCCGAGCGGGGTGCCGCCGCTACGCCATTCAACAAGCAATCGATCAGCAGCTGAGCGGCGCTGGGAATCAACACTGGAAAACTAGCAGCACCGTAAAAGGGAACATTGCAGCTCGTGGATGTGATGGTGGAGGTCAAAAGATAGCCATCAGAACGCTTGAAATGAATATGTGACGTGAAGTTGTCACTTGGGCGACAAGGCACGGAATGCAGCAGCTGGCAAGGACGGAGCACACATGAGGAGGAAACAGGTGAAGGAGATAGAGGTTGAGAGAGAGGGAGGAAGATCCCACAAACAAAGCTGTAGTTACCGGCACGCAGGGTTGCAAGAGGGAATTACACAGCTGGGCCCTGCTCCCGCCCACACGGAGCGAAAAACACGACAGGCAGCGTGCACGCCAGTGGGCACAGCGAGGCGAAACCGGGCAGGAGCTGTGGGCAAGTGAGGATATGTGCATGAGTGGTGAGAGGGCGGTCAGTGTCAAGGGACAAGCATTGTCAATGGGTTGTCAGAAAGTGGTCTTGAGTAGAATGAGGAGGGCCGCGGCGAGGCCGATTGGAGTGAGCGATGATGGGGATGAGTGCATGCGAGTGCCGTGGTGGTGAGGGTGCGGCAGGGCAAGGGCACTAACGACCCTAATTAGGGCTTGCATGCAGGGCTTGCCTATCAGGGTTGTCTAGGTGTCTCGTGGGGGCTGCGCATCCACCTGCTGAGCTGGCAGGGGTGGGAGGATCTAGGCACCGCTGCCTCAGGCCGCCACCTCCTCCTGCGCCGCCGTCGCCTGCTCAAAGCGCCTGCGAGCGCGGGCCTCAAACTTGTACACAGCCGCAGCGGGCAGCAGGCCTACCAACGCCAGCAGGAGGGCCATGCCGGGGCCGCCCTGGCCGGCGAGCAGGCAGGCGCCGGCTGCGGGCAGGCGCGGCGGGGCAGGGTGGGACCAGGAAGCACAGCGAGTCAGCCAGCGCAGCAGCTTTGCAGTGGGCCTGGAGGCACACCACCGTCACCATATGGGCAAGGGCAGGCAGCAGGAAAGACGGGAGGGTGCGGGCTCCAGAGAAGGCTCCCTGGCTGCGCTGCACTGCGCCGCGCCGCACCACGCAGCGCTGCCAGCTCACCCTGGGCGCCCAGCGCCGCGGGGCAGGCAGCGGCCAGCGGCGCCAGCAACACCGACAGGCACAGGGCTTGCACCGGCAGGAAGAGGCAGAAGCGCAGCTGCGGGCAGGGCGGGGACGAGGGGAGGCAGGGGAGAGAGGAGGGGAGCCGGTCAGGGCAGGAGCACAGCAACTGCTGCTGTGAGATGTTGTGAGGTGCGCAGGCGCACGCAGAGCGGTCGCCTGCCATGCTGCAGTGACACAGCGCCGGCTGCATGCGCGCCTTGAAGCCGAGGGAGAAGACGGCCACCGCCTCTGCGCCCGACGTGCGCAGCAGCCAGGGCAGCGCCTGCGCCGCGCCCGGCGGCGGCGGCGCCGCCTGCGCCGCGCCGCTCCAGCGCAGCAGCAGGGCGTGGGCCAGCAGCAGGGAGGCCAGCAGCGCCTCGCGGTGGCGCGTGTACCTGCGCGCGACACAGCACAGCACAGCGCAGCACAGCGCAGCATGGTGAGCGGCATGGCTCCGCATGGTGCGCCGCCGCGCAGCGTGGCATGACCAGCCTCCACAACTGCAGCCCTCTGCTCACAGGCACCCGAGCCAGGGGGTCCGATTCAACCAGCACAGAGGTATGCAGCACACAGCCCTGTCACGCACGCCAGCGCGGCTACCTGCGATCGTCCATCGCAGGCCGCCGCGGCGCCGGCTGCTGCCCGGCCGGGCGGCCTGCAGGCCTCACCTGCTCGCATCCAGTGCCATCACCGCCAGCGGCGCCGCCAGCGCGGCCACAAACGCCTGCGCCGCGGCGCTGCGCAGCGCAGCGCCCGGCTGCAGCACGGCAAAGCACAGCGCCACCGAAAGGTGCATGAGGGAGAAGAGCAGGTCGCCGCGGCGCAGGCTGGCGTTGTGCGCCGCCGCAAAGCGCGCCTCCAGCGCGCCGTCGGCATAGCGGAGCAGCGCGCCGGCGGGCGGCGGCGGGCGCGCCGCGGCCGACGCTACCGCCGCCGTGCCGGCCGCCGCCTGCCGGCGCTTGAGCTGGGCCTTGGGATCCTCAGCCTCCGCCTCTGCCTCCGCCGCTGCCGCTGCCGCAGCACCAGGCGGCAGGCCCTGCAGTGGCGCGCCCTTCAGGCCGCCGCCGCCGCTGCTGCTGGGCGCGTCGGCGGCGGCTTCCGCGGCCGCAGCCGCAGGCGCGGCGGCGGGGCCGGCTGAGCCCAGCGTCAGCCCGGAGCGCTGCGACAGCGCGGCCACCGCCGCGGCGTGCAGCGTCTGCGCCTGCTCGGCCTCGGCTGCCTTCTTCGCTGCGCCGCAGCCGCCGCCCGCCTCGGCCTGCGCGCCGCCGCCGCTGCCGCCGCCGCCGCCGGGCGACACGGAGCGCGGGGTGCAGGCGCTGAGGGGCATGTCCTGCAGCTCATCCTCCGCGCAGCAGCTGCAGTCAGCTGCCCGCAGCTTCAGCATCTCTGCCATGTCAGCGGCCTTGGTGAGGCCCAGCAGAAGAAAGTAGGGCGGCGCCGCCTCCGCCAGCGCCTGCAGCCGCTCCCACAGCTGCGGCGGGGCGCCGCCGCCGTCTGCCACGCCCGCCATCAGCGCCCCGACATAGATGGGACGGTACTGGGCGCCGCTGGCTGCTGCTGCCGTGGAGGTAGCGGCAGAGGCAGCCGCTGCCGCCTCCGGCGGCGCGCCGCGGCCGCTGCCGCCGGCCGTGGCCGGCGCCACTGCCACCGGCACGCACAGCACCTGGGCCGCGGAGGGCGCGGCCTGGCTAGTGGCGGGCGCCGCCACCACGACGGTGCGCCCCTGCGCCATGGCCACCCCCGCCAGGCTATTCTTGAGCGACACCACGCTGAGCTCGTTGCTGCCCGCCTGCAGCAGGTCCTGGCTGACAAACAGCCCCGTGCCGCAGCGCACCGAGGCCCTGCACGTGCAGGCAGGGGGACGGGCGGCGCAGGTGGGTGGGGCTGGCAGCGTCCCCAGCGGCTCCAGCTGCGGCGGCCGCCACCGGCATGCTGGACCTTGTTGGGTGCTACGCTCGGCCGCCGGGCCGCCCGCTGCCATGCCGCGCCCGCAGCCACCCCAGCTCACCGCAGGAACAGCAGCCCGGGGAGGAGGTCGCGCAGGGCCTTGGCGGCTTCCGCAGCGATGTGCTGGGAGCCAAAGGCTGCCCCGATGGCGGCCGCGGCGTCCTCCATTGCAGCCTGCGGCTGTCGGGGAGCCGTGACGGGGGTGTGCAGGCCACCAGCCGCCCCTCAAACCGAGCTCTCCTCAAACCGAGCTCACTTCTACGTGCGGTGTGATGCCAGGATGCAGGGGCAGGCTCACAAAAGTGTGTTGGGAAAGGCAGTGGGGCTCGAGTGATTCCCCATGGCGGCGCACGCAAGCGCGCGCTGGGCGATCTCCGTCTCTTGCCTCTCTCATCTCAAGGGTTTGCCTGGCTCGTGCACTGCAGGGAGGAAACGAGTACGTCCAGGGATGCTGCGGGCCTCGAGAATCTCCCTCCTGCTGGGCCGCCGCCGCCTCCGCCCTCCGCCCCACCCGGGAAGACTCCAGCAGGCAGCAAAACCACCGCGACACATGTCAAGGTGCAGCCCCCGGATCATCGCTAAGAATGACTACAGTAACAGGCCTCCGGCGCTGCTGCCAGCACCGCTGCCGGCTCCTGCACCTCTGTTGCTGTGCCGTCACCGCGCCTGTGTGCGATCAGGTGTTGACAGCCAGGGCGTGCCAAAGGGGCAGCGCAAAGGGTCCAGAGGCAGGCCAGCCTGATTGATCCAGAGCGGCAGCAGAGCATGCATGTAATGAGGGGTAAACACCGGCGCCGGCCAGCAGCAGAGGGGGGAACATACTAGCGAATGGTCATGAAGGGGCGGTACAAAAGGGTGTTGAGCTCGGCTCAGTGGCACATCGCAGGCGGCAGGGGCGGGGCGGGGGTCCATGCCACCCGCCTGCATCTTCAAGCGCAGCGGGGCAAGCCAAGGGCAAAGCCAATTTGGGGTGGGCGCGCCCTGGGCGGCTTGCGCAGCGGCCCGAAAACAGTGGGTACAGGCGAGGCTGGGTGTACGGGCAAGGGGCGTATAGAAGGGGTGCGTCGGGGTAGGATGGGAGGTAGGGGGAGAGGGTGCAGTCTCTCGGCTCACAGCACCGTGCAACAGGTACAGGCACGTAGGGGGAGGGGGTGCGCAACAGCAAGACGGGTCCGTTGGGGGTGGTCCAGGGGAGGAAAGCAGGGTGACGCGGTGCTGTGGTATGTGCATTATTAGGTGAGGGGTGAAGGTCTGACATCAAAAACATCAAAGCAGGAAGCAGAAATCGCGGGGAATTGGCCCTCATGTGGCCACCGGGCCCGCCCCGCCGACCGCCTGTGTGCATGTGCCGCCGGCCAGGCTGGCCGCAGGTCAGGCCTTGGGGCGGGGAGGTGGCGGCTGTTTCCGCGGCGCCGGCGGCCTGGGCTTGGGGGGCTTTGGGCGCGGTCGCGGCGGCCTCGGCTTGGGGCGTGGCGGCCGGGGCTTGGGCGGCCGGGGCTTGGGCGGGCGCGGCCGGGGCGGCGGCTTCTTGGCGGCGCCAGCCGCGGCGGCGTCCGCCGAGGGCCAAACGCGCTTGCACTCGAAGAACGGCGCCCAGTCGCAATGCTGCTGCGCGTCTGCGGCGGGCAGGCGTGGGGAAGCAAGACGAGCGGCGCTTAATTGCAAAAATGGCCGAGCAAGCAGGGCGATGCAGACATCAGCTGGCTGCTCTTGGGAGGCAGCAGCCCGCTGGCATCTCGCCGCGCAAGCCCCGCAACGCGAGCCCCCGCCGCCGCCGCGCCCCCGCCGCCTCCCTGCGTCCCGGCGGCAGGCGTGCCGGCGCTGCCGGCCAGCCGGCCAGCGCCCCCACACACAGCGGCGCCCTCCCTGCTCACCGTG